CAAATGCATACAGATAATGCTAATTCGAGGCACTTACTGGACAATGTGAGCGAAAATAAGAGCATAAAGACGACCGGTTCGATGTAGAACATATGAAAGATGCGATGCCATTGGAAACTGCGAAGACGCTTCAGTGTCAAGATGTGCGCGACTTTTTCGACCATTTTGAGCAGCTTTAAGAATTCTAATTGTTAATCGCAAGTCGCGAATCAAATACTGGTTTTATATTGTTTGCAAGTTCAACGGATTCAAGACCTCAGCCAATTCCGCGTAGTTACATTATATGTTTATTAATTAGTTGCTGGCAAAACTTTAAACAATGGCAAGAGGCGCACACAAAAAGCAACTTATCACAATGAGCACGTCACAGCCTAATTCAAATTACGTATACGCTATATATGCACTTATATACATTTATACACTTATATGCAAGCATTAACTGTCATATCGGGCTGGATGCTTGGCCGTTTAATATGAAGCCCGGCGCCTTTTTCGACTGCGACAATTATTTACAATTGGAGTTGGATTCTCGAAATGAGCCTCTAACGTTAAGTCCGAGCGTTTATATATGCGGCCACAAAGGTAAAACAAAAAACAAAAAACAAAAAACGGAAGGAAAACCCACGTCAAATAGAACTAAAACTAAAGCCGCACAGAAATATTCCACAACACTTGTTCATCAAAAATCCAATGTTCTAGTTGTAGATTTTCGATATATGCACACGTATATATATATATATATATATATATATGTGTATATATATTTGTATATCGCGTGTAAGCCGATGTCTGTTGTTGGTCAGAAAAATTCCGTTCCCGACTATTGAGTTATAGTTGGGTCTGTTGTTGGACCCCGAACAGCAGCTTGATACGGCGACGGCAACGTTTCCGATTCGTTTAAATTCGATTTCACTGCGTTGACGGCTTAAATAAGTTTTTTTTTTTTTTTTTTGATTTTTTTTCGGTGACTGAGCTGAGACTCCCCGCCGTCCCGCCTTATCACCTGCAGCACCTGTGGCTTGTCTAGGCCCAGAAACTGTGCTAAGCCTCAGTTTGTTTGTTTCGTTTTCTTACTGCCAGTTCGTGCAGTTCGCACGCGCCAAAGCCAAGGCCCGCAGGAGGGTTCCATCGAAAACAAAACTCTTAACAAATGGCATTTAACAACGACTAATGCTGACTGGTTAGATTAAAAACAACTGCTTTTAACAATATATATACATACATATTATATAAATAAATGTCCAATCGTAGCTGAAACAGGCCGTGCTAGGGGTAGCATCTAGATAATTAATCAAATGTCGAACCGAACATGCTCGCATTATTCTTTTAAATCAAGGGTGCAAAAATAAAAAAAAATGTGACATCTAATTTAAAATTAGCAAATGAAATTAGCGCTCAATTTAACATGAAGTTAACACCACTCATTCTGCTGGGAAGTTTATTTATTTGTGTTTATTATATTTATATTTATTTGTTTTCATGCCCATCCATCCATATATATATATACATATATATGTATGTGTATTGGAAGAGTTTGTCAAGTGACTGCGCACACGCCGTTGCCTGGAAATTAACAGAGGAGCAGCCCGTCGAAGCGTGCTGTTATATTAACCCATAGCTGAGGTCGAATCGAAAATTGTTTAGTTATATTTCGAATTTTTTTAAATTATTGTAAAATATGGCAAATGGCAAGCGCAATTACACACGTTATTTGCCGGTGTGTTCGCTTTTTTATGGTACCAAATGCTGATCAATAAAAACCCCCCTTGAAGTGCACAGCTAGACTTCACACATTGGTTGGTGCTTATTTTTTTTGTTTTGTTTATAATGTGCAAATACGTAAATAGATATTTGTATTTGGCATATTAGCCAATTTGTATAATTGATGTGCGAATTTGCCGAATGACTGGCGAATTAAGCTCTTTCTTTTCTTTTTTGCTTAATATCAGTTTTATGGCTGAGATATCACTTGAAAATGGGTTCGTAGTGTGCGGGATGCGTGGCTTTCTTGCGCCAGACAACGCTGAAAGTAATAAACAAGAACGATTATTTAGCATAGTAATATTTGCATAAATCTTTTAACAAATTGGACACGCACAGCAGCAAAATAATCGCGAGTCCAAATAAATTGGCGCTGATCAGATTGAACAAGCCCGGCGCACTGCTCAATGTGAGCGTGTAAAATATTATATACAGTGTGGATGAGGCGAACGGGGAGAGCGTTTGCAGTACGCTGAGCATCGCAAAGACTTTGCCTAAATAGAGAAAGAAAAGATACAAATGTAGCTTAAAGATACTTTTCAAACGAACGAAAAGAATGATACAAATATAGCTCAAAGATACATTTCGAACGAACGAAAGAAAAGATACATTTTAGAGGAACGAAAGAGAAGATACAAATGTAGCTCAAAGATACAGTTAAGCAAATCTAAGAAGAGATACTGAAAAGATAACTGAACGAAAGAAAAGATACAAATGTAGCGCGAAGATACATTTCAAATGAATCAAAGAAAAGATACAAATGTATCTGAAAGATAGATCTTAAGAGAAGAAAAGAAAAGATACATTTTAAACGAACGAAAGATACAAATGTAGCTAACAGATACATTTCAATCGATCGAGTGATGAGCCACAAATGTACCTCAAAGATTAATTTTAATAGATTTACGCACCGCGCTCCTCGCCTGGCAACAGGTTAGTTATCATGGTGCGGCACATGGGATTCACCAGAGATTTGAATATGCCCAAGCCAATGGCCAGATAGATTTGCCAGTCGACGAAGGCGAACGCTTTCATCAGACTGCTCGCCGCATGACTCAGCAGCGAGATGAGGGCCAGCCACAGAATTGCCGACTTGCTGCACTGCAATGGCAACAACAAATATTATCTTAAGATATGTATATATATAATTAATATCATTTGTAAATCCCACCTGGCGCAGCGACCATAGAAACAATATGCCGCCGGAACCAGCCACGGCTGGCACCAAAATGCTCACCGACTCGTAGCTTGTAAACTCGCGCACCGTCCAATGGAACTTGGCACGCATAAACATATAGAACACCGAGTTGCTGCCATCTGAAATAAAATAAATCGGTTTACGGGCCACAAGAGCCCTTTTGGAGGCGCAAGGCCCCGAAAATGCGAGGCTCGAGCTAAGTCGAGCTCGTTTCGAACTCGAACATGTTGCTAACTCGAGCAGCTCGAACTTCGTTTGAGCGTATGTCGTCGGTCCAGATAAATCCTTTTTTCACTCACCAGATACAAATGCCGTCAGCAGCAAAACACACATGAGCAGTACTAGTATGGAGCGATCCTTGTGCTCGCGTGTTCTCGCGCTGCTTCGCCACAAATCCAGCAGCACAAATCCCTCGGACAACTGCCGCTGGGTCAGACTCTCGGGCAGCAGGGCGGCCACCAGGAATAGGGCAAATAATATGGCACAGGCCGATATGACAAAGATGATGTAAGCATTAGTCGCCTCGTAAACGTAGCCAGAGGCAAAGCTGCCCAACAGCAAGCCCACATAGATGCACAGCTCGTAGGCGATCATTCTGTTTGGCAGAGCACACATATTTATATGCATATAATGTACCGGTAAAGGGCTTATTACCTGTAGGATCTCATTTTGCCCGTGGAGACGTCGCCTATGAAGCAAACCGCGGCCACGGAGTAAGTCACGCTGCTGCCCAGCAGCGAGAGTGGAATTATGGTGATCACATAGAACCAAGGACTGACCAGGCCGTTGAGCTGCATGGCCAGATAGGCAATGCAAGCGGAAAGTATATACTGGAGAGCATAGCCTGAAAGAAAGATTGAAAATAAATTCATAACAAGGGTGAAGAGGCCCTACAAGGGAGAAGAAAAGGCATCTCTGCCGCTTTTATAATCTGTGATCGATATTTATCAATTTTGGGATAACAAACAGACAGACTCACCCAAATAGGAAGCCAGCAACAGGGGCTTGCGTCCATAACGATCCGACAGGGCGCCCACGAACAAGCCACAAAAGGCTGGAACAATGCACTCGACGATCTTGATGGTCAGGAATACGCGCGCCGCATATGGCTGGACCTCGGCTTCAATACGTTTGGTCTCATTGCTGGCGTTTTTGGTGCCCAACAGGCTGCAGACCGCTTCCGGGTAACCAAACCCCGCCGTGCAGCTCTGATAGATAATTTGAGATTTCAATATGGTTGCTGAAATATACGAATAATATGCTTTAACATGTTTAGCCTGGACATCTTGCGCAACCCACATGAGAAATTGTAGGCGAAGAGCAGAATTAGAATCAGCGGCTCCAAGAGAAAAGTTCTTGGCTGAGCACATGGATTGGCAGCTGGTTCGATTGGCGCCATGTTCTGCTCGTTGCCCATTGCAGCTACTATGGATTCGTCGTGGCTATCGAGGCTGGACTCACTGGAACTGCTGCTGGGAGTGCTGAGACCCGTTTCCGGGTCATGGCTGTGCCGACTGGATTTTGCGACGAGCTGCTCATGTGCGTGCGGTGCCTCGTCCATAATAAGTTTGCAACTGAGACTTGCGGCCAATTGTCGCCCGTTCAGATTGAGTCGAAAATGGTATAGCTCGCAGATAAAATATCGTCATTTGTGGGGGTTTTCATTAGGACTACAACAAAGCTGGTGAGTATATAAACACACACACAATAATATTGTTGAGTCAGCAGCATGCCGCACGACCAAGCTTGTGTTTTACTTATAGAACGTGCCTTATCTTAGCTCAAGTTAGTTGATTTCAATGCCCTTAACTAACATTTTTTAATCTGTTAACTTAACTATTTCTTTAACTTATGAAGTTAAACATGAGCAGCGATCGGATTTTAGCTGGCTATAATATTATAATATTTTAAATATTTTTTTTTACATTATTATTATTATTTTTATATAAAATCTTCGCGCTTTTTGGGCAATAATTACATTTCTCTGTTAACTTTTTTATTTAAGCATTGCGTATTTTGAATATGAAATTCAAATATTTTTCCGTTATTTAGTATTCTTTGCAAATTTAATACTCTTAAATGCCCGCGCGATAAAATACCAAATTCGATAAATATGCAAGTTATCGATTTTGAATTAGGCTAATCGCCGAGGAACTAACTTGAGCACACTTTCAACAAATGGAAGACAAGAGGGAGCTGCGATCCTTGCTTCTGGCAACCAAAACAGGAAAACAACTTTCGGAATATCATATTAAATTGCTGCAAAAGCAAAATATCAGCACAGCAGAAGAATTTATTGATGCAGACAATGTGCACACGATCTTGGCGCTCGCCAGCGACACAACCGAGGAAATTAAGCGGGAACTGTTGAATTTATATGTGGGCAGGATTAAGTTTAAGACACTCTACCAGTCGCAGCCCATAAACTACTCAACAGGCATAGAGGAGTGGGTGAAAGCAGTTGGTTTTGTTTAACCGTCAATTAAGATTGGACTTACTTGCAGCTTAGACAAATTGCTGGACTCCATTGGACAACCCTTTCGTCCAGGCCGTGTTTGGGAGCTCATCGGCGATAATGATGTGGGCAAAACCGAATTGTTACACACACTGGCTGTAAATTTCGTTTGCAAATATGGAGAGCAGCAGCAGGTGCTGTTTGTGGACACCAACTTGGACTTTGATAGCGAACGCTTGGAGGAGATTTTGTTGGAAAGGAAACAACTGAGCGAGGCAGCTATAGACAGATCTTTGGATGCGATTAATGTTGTGCAAGCAACCACAGCTGAATCTTTGATTGCAGCACTGGCAGCTCTACTCGAGAAGCTAGCCAGTCCCAATGCCAAATTTGAGGCCGTCTCGCGCATAAAAGTGGTCCTCATTGATTCCCTCACAGCCTGTTACATCTTATATCGCAGCAGTTATGGACGCAACAAGGGACGTAGATTCCTAACAGAGTTGGCGATGATTATACGAAAGCTGGCTGTACAGCACGGCATTGCTTTTATCATAGGCAACATGACGTTCTCCCCGGACGATGAGAGTAAGTATTTCCTTAGGCAAGACTATTTCAACGTTTAAATTTATATATGTACATCTATTACGTGATTGTTCGCAGCCAACGACATGGGCGAGGATGAGGATGTAGACAACGAAGGGGGTTCGACCCAAAAAAGCACAGATGCACAAGAGGACTGCAGCTTCTTGGGTGACTATTGGTGCTCGGTCTGCACGCTGACTTTGGTCCTGGAGCTGCCGGATGAGTCCCACTGCGACGGCGACGGGCTGCGGCTGCTCAAGGTGCTTAATAATAACTTCGGCATTAGCGACGGCAGCTGCTTGTTGCGCATCACAGACGCCGGCGTCATTTGAACTTAGTTGGGCGGACGACGTGCTCCAGTGGCCAGGTGTTGTTGCTGGTAAGATTTCATCACGCGTTTGCCAGGTTCTATGCCGTCGCTCAGACCGGGCCGCTTGCGTTTATTGTTGCCACTCGATGATTGCGGCGTAAATGTAGGCGCTACTGTCTCCACTTTTGTCTCATTACCAGCTAAGGCTTCCACGCTTAAATCCGAGTCGTGTGCATACTGGCAGCTGGTGCCAAAACGGCAGCGTCCTTTTCTATAATTCCAGCATATTTTGCGGCCATTTTTGAGCTGTAAATGTGCATCGTTGTTCACCATTTTGACGTGCCGCTCCAAGGAAGCCGTTTTATGCAGTTCCGCCTCCAGAAATGGATTGCTGAATACATCACCGGTCCGTTTGGCTGCCGCATTGTCCAGCGCAGCGCTCGCACTTGGCAACTTTGGGTGTTTCTGTGCAGGAGGCGGGCTGCAATTAGTCGTCTTATAAATATATGTTAAAATTTGATAGATTCTTTAATTACCTTTCTGACTTGTTTGTTTGTTCTTTTTCGGACTCATTGCTGCTGCTTTCTGCGTCAGATTTAGATGAATCGCTATAATCAGCGACAAGCGACATTGTTTACGTTTTTATCAACAATAATCAGTGTGACCGCAGTGCTCGGATGGTAAAAAGTAAAATACCAAACGGAAAATATACTAAACTGCTGTACAGCACTGTGCGATACTTAAAATTGTTTTAAAGATGTTAAATAAAATTAAGTTACAATAATAAACTTTTTACACACACACAAAGTAGCTTACAAAAGATATTTTCAGAACATATTCGTTTCATTTTTAATGAGTCCGTTTTAATTCATAATACATACGTTTAATCACTTTATGCATGCTTTAGTTAAGGTGTATATGCATGTATGGTATGTATATATATATATATATGTGTGTGTGTGTGTGTGTATGTATATTCGCTAATTACTATTTATACAATTTATATAAATATAAAAAATTAAACGTTTCCATAGACTTTGTTACAAATTTGTTAATATGTTTGCTGATAGCCACGCCTCCGCTCTTCACACACAATGCAGGATGTGTATAAAAATATTCAAAACATTTAATACAATAAAGGAAATCAGTACACCTCCATGTAACAACAAAAGATGTACGCTTTGAAAGCCGGAACCACTCATAAGTTGTGCTTAACTTTAGTCTGGCTGTGGTAGATGAGCAGACGCTAATCAAGTGTCTGACGTGCCGACGGATCATCGCGATCAATGGGTGGCGGTGAGGTAAGCACTTCCACGCTCTGCGCTGGGCCTGCGGTGAGGTAGCCCGCCGTTGGATTAATGCCTGAAAGCAGACCACATATATAGGATTACATATATAGGTAATTGCACATGTTGTTGTCTGTAAGTTAACGACGATTGCAAGCGCCTTGTCCCCCTCTCGAAGCTTTAACTTGTTGAGAATTTTAAGAGCCAAGCAACGAAAAGAGTACAGCTTGTCCATTTTCGGAGTGTTTTACACCGGTGCAACAACTATAGTTATAGAAAGTGCATAATTTGATGCCCACCAGTCAAGTAGCCGCGTATATTGGTGTCGGTTATGAAGAGATCGTGCCGTTGATCCTTGAACTCTGCCCAGACTGGATGCTTGAGCAGTATTTGCGTGACACGATCGCCATAGTTCAGATTGTGTGTCATGCCCTTGAGCGCAGCGACAATTTGTGCTTTGACCGCGGATGCATTGTCCACGAACTCCAAACGACTGTCCAGTAGTCCCAGCAGAAACGGTATAAGACCCGCCTCAAGCGACTGACTGATCAAAGAGTCCTGTCGGATGTGGTTAAGCGAAAGTGAATACGATTTGATTTTATTATCCCTTGAATACTTACATGTTGATGCTTGAAAAGACGACTCAGCGTTTCACATGACTTCTCTATGCAATCCCGGTTGTGTTCCATGCATCGCTTAAGCGGCGCAATGCACTCCGTTTGCGAGATGGCCGCCACACAGAACTGGAATGTAGGAATTGGAGTCAGGAATAGTCTAAAGATACTTTAAAGCCGAACCCACTTCGGACAGCGACAGCTGGTGTAATACTGATAGCGTGTTCTTTGGCTGCACCGAGAGCAGATTAAACAGCTTGGGTATGTGGCCCAGCACGGGTATATCGTCGGCCAGAACGGGCTGGGAGCGCAACAGCTCAACCAGTGCTGTCGTCGACAAATCCAATGCCTCCGGCTCCGTTGTGCTCTTGCTGATTTGCTCGACCACAAAGTCCAAGAGATCGGAGAGAAATTGTTTAGGCTTGCGCAATGTCCAGGCAGGATTGCTGACAAACAGGCGCAAATAGACGCCGGCGACAACAATCTCGTTGGACACAATGTCCTTCAGTATGTCGGGATCCTTCCATAAATGGCGTGCATTTGTCTTTTGCTGCTGATAGAATCTGTTGCACGTCTCGGCGACCGCGTCGCATACATTCGAGCGCGTATTGTCGTTCCAGATCAGCTCCGGATGCTCGTGTATGGACTCAAAGAGCTGCACAGACGTAGGCGGCGACTCGATCATGGCATCGATGAAAAGCATAGGCAGAAACTTGGATATGGTTATTCGCACCTTGGGCCCGCTCAGACGATCCGCTGTCATTTTGGCCAAGATTTCGGCGCACATTTCGCGTATTTGCGGATTACGTGAATTGCAGAACATGTCCAGCAAATAGATGACAGCGCCCTTGGCCTGTGCCTCCTTGATCATCTCCTGCACGTTCATCAGGCCGGACAGAGTCTCCAGCACCTTGACCTGGCTGGCGCGCAGCTCGGGATCCTTGAGCGCTACCAAATAGTTGCCAAGTATCTCGCAGGCAGCCACCTCCGAGACGCATTCCTTGTTGCGGGACACCAGGGCAACCACTTCCAGAGCCACAGCCTTCACACTGGAGTTCTGCAAGGAGTCAGAGCAGTTAGATATCTGTGAGAAGTTCTACTTAACATATTCCTACTTACATCGGCGAAAATATTGTTGGCCAGGAAGCCGAATATCATATCGAAATTTCCAATGCACTGAATCTCCACCTCGGCGTTTGCCTTGATCACCGCAATCAGCGCGCGCAGCACCATGGTTATGTGCAACTCCAATTGGCCATCGTTGGCATAGTCATATTTGGCCTGTTGCAGCGAGAGCTGCTGCTCCGCCTGCGCATCCGTTTCCAGCTTTTTGCGGCTCTTAGAGCGATTGTAGGCATTCAGCACCTCGTCAAAGGTGCCGAAAGTTTTGCCTTCCTGCTGCTGTTGCTGCAGCTGGGGATGATTGGGCGCCAGCGTTGGCGTCAATATGCCATCGCTGCCCATTTTGGGCACTGCGGCTGGTGCTGGGGCTGGGGCTGGTGATCGCTTGTATTGCAGAAACTTATAGGCATGCTTTAAGTACTCCAGCAGATCCATAATGAACTGCTTGGGCTGAGCAATGGGATGCGTGGGCATGTCGTTGTAAATGCGTATGAATATGCCACCAATTTGCAGCTCATCCCTGGCAATGGTAAAACACAATTAAGTAGCTGATATATATTGAAGTATTTGATAAGGATTAGGGATACCCACTTGTGCGCATCGAACTCGAAGCCGGCTACCAGCTCGTAGACTTGTGCAATATCCTCGTGTGTCTCTTTGGCGGATGCCAGGCGCTGCTGCTCCAGGAAATCCTTGAGCTGTGCGCGCGTGCCATTGTCCCAAAAGAGATAGGGATTGCGCGTATTGGCCGTCAGCAGCTTGAGCACCTCGCTGTCCCGCACGCTGGCCAGCTGGTTGGCAATATAGCGGGTCAGCAGGCGGTCCAGCACCTGCTTGATCAGCGTATTCTTCGGCTCGCCCGTCACAATGTACTTCTGTTGAATGGCGTTTTGGCGGGCCAGCAGCTGCTGCTGCTGCTGTTGCTGGTGGTCGCTGTCTGTGGGCGTGGAGCTGGATGTGTCGCTGCTGACGCTGGAATCCTGCTTGGTGAGCACCGCCGTCTCCTTCTCCTTGCCCGTGGTTATGGCCAGCTGTTTGCTCTGAAGCGGATTTTGGGCATTTTGCGTGTACGCCGAGTTGGTTGTTGACGACGATGACGATGGCTTCGGCTTGATGGCAGGCGCTGGCTTGGCTGCCAACGCGGGCGAGCTGGATTCGTTGCCTGTGATGGGCTTGTTGCGCAGCTCCATGTCGTAGCCAGCCAGAGCTATGCAGCCGAGCACGGCCATTTTGGCCAGATTGTTGGCCAATTGCTGCTGGTTGGACTTGTCGCTAACCTCGACGCCGCTCTCGTCCAGCGTGTAATCATACTCGAATATGAAGAGCAGCAGCGACCAGAGCACACCATTGCGAGACAGATTGCACTGCAGGTCATAGTTATTGGCCGCCAGGCTGGTCACCAGGCTAACCGAGAGCGTGTGCTTGAAGTAGACCACACGACAGACATCCGAGAGCAGCTGAGGTAGCTGTATTATCTTCTGTTTGCACTTCTCAAAGTTGCAGGCGACCTCAAAGCAGCGCGTCACATTCGAGATGACCTGGTAGTGCAGGGAGTCCGGCTTGGAGTCCACGCCCAGTATGGAAACGCAACGCGAATATGCCTCCAGCAGCGCCTCGATACCTTCCTCGCGGCGCAGCTCCTCGGCGTTCAGAGCCGAGCAGTGAACTGTATGATAGCACAGCTCCGAGGCGGCGGTCAATAGTTGCGCCTCCTTGGAGAAGAGCTCATCATCGCGCGTTTCCAGCCGTATTGTCTTAATGAGCTGCGGATAACCGGCGTACTTGTAGGGACGCAGGACTGCCAGGTTATGAATAAGATTGGGATTAGCTTACAATTGGAAATTAGAAATATTTGCCACTCACCGTCCGCATAGCGCTCGAAGAGTATGCTCTGTGTGCGCAAGATAAGCACAATGTTATTGGGATCGGGGCCGCCGGAGCTCCAGACGGAGCGCGAGCACAGAAACTCATAGGCCTGATTTACCTTCTCGAAGATCTCACGGCCATTGGGATTCTTGTCCGGATGATACATTTGCGCCAGCTTGTAGTAGCTCTTGCGTATCATGGACTCATCGGGCTTGGGCGTCTTGGTTAGATCAATGCCCAGATCCTGGTAGGCCTGTTGAATGGTCATCTGTGGCGGCTTCTTTTCGACCTCCTTGCGCCAAGCGTCTAGCGTGTGCTTTAGCAGCTGTACGGGATCCGAGATGGGCCAATTGGGAAACTTTTTGGTGTCGCACAAATGCCGCAAATAGTAGATGTGACAGAAGAGCTCGTTCTCCAGCTGCGGATAGCTGATCACAGGTATGGCCAGGTATGGATATCTGGCCATCGTATGGCCACGCAGACGCGGCGTGAAGTCGGCAATGTGTGCGGCAATCTTTTCGATGAGTAAGCGACGCATCTCTGAGCTCCAAATCACCTCGGGCGTATCGAACTCGCCCAGAAAGATTTCGGCAAACTTTTCGGCGCTGTAGTTCTCCAGGAAGCACACCATAGCCTCGGGCAGCAGCTGGCCCAGAATACTGCGATGCATAATGCCCGACTGCGAGGTCTGCAACGAGAGAGGAAAATCGTGAGCAGGGCTTGGCTGGAAGATCAGACAGATCCGGCAGTCTCACCTCCTCGCTGCGGAATCCCTGCTTCATGTGCGTCATCTTCAGGAAACGTGTGATAGGCAAGATATTGCTGCCCGTGTACATGAGCATAAAATAGAAGACGCCCGTCATGTACACCTTGGGCATTTCAGGATTGTCCTCCATGATTTGGCAGAGCAGCGTAGCGACACGCTCCAACAGACCCGGATCATGCGTTAGACACACTTGCACCACATGCGGCAGGCAAATAAATTCCGATAGTTTGCGCGACAGCTTGGGCCCGGGTATGAGCACAGCGACGCCGCTTTGTGTGCGGCTGGGAAAGAAGCTGGTGCACTTGATCAGTATGTCGAGTATCTTGGAAGCCAGCTCCGTCTCATCGTACAGCGGCGTGCCCTTGGCTATAAGGCACCACTTCAGCTGA